TAAGTCATTGGGACGATTTCCGGCCATTTTGAGTATGCGTCCACGAGCACAAGGTACGAGACTCGGTTGATCGGTCCAGCAAAATCAATATGGATCCGTGACCAGGGATTTTGTGGTTGTGGCCAAGGGACTGAAGGAACCTTAGGAGGGTTCTTGGCGGCCTGCTGGCATTGGCGGCAACTCTTGACTAGGTCTGTGATTTGCTGATCCATATTTGGCCAGTAAGCGTAACTGCGGGATTAGTGGGAAAATAATTACTTCATTCTTCAATGCTACGTTTTTCATGCCGCTGATTAGAGCTTCGTTCGAGCCTTTTGCGCTGCCATTGAAGAAGTAATCGTAGTGCACATCAAATTCATATCCACTATCGACATTGTCGGTGTTTGAGAGCTCAGAAATATCAAGGACGTGGGGAGATTGGTGTTGTGATGAATCAGGTGGGATTCCTTGTGGAAGGGTCCAAATCCTGTTAACGTCCGTCACATTGAACGACCGATGTTGTGATAAGGTAAATGCGTTTGTGTGAGGAGATATGAAAAACGGTGGCGGTTGGCGCGCTCTTCCAGCTCCTCTTTACAAGATTCGTAAAGCGTGGCACACCGTGCAGACGATTAGCCATTCTCGCCTCAAATCCAATTCCCTCATTGACTTCATAGTCATGTCCAGTGTACGCACAGACGACCGCAATATTCGCTTTGCCGCTTCTCGTGTTTTGATCATTGCAAAGTAACTGACAGTCTGATATACCGACGTTGAAAACAACGGTGAACAAGCACGCTCACCAAGAAGAAACTAGACAAAATGATAGTGAGAGGGTGATGTTCAAATTCGTGGTGTAATTTGACCAACTGGACGACAGCAGAAAGCCTTTCCTCAGCCTCATTGGTTAGACAGCGTGCCGTCGTGCGTGCATTAACATCTCTGCGCCAGTGCCTGTGTGCTGACGTTTGCGTGGAAGCCGGTTCGCGTGTCACGACATTGACAGTTTTGAGTGGTAATAAATGTGAATAGGCCGCCTACTACCGCACCTTGCCCGATGACTTGTGAAGTGAGCCGTGTTGATTCACGGCCAATAAGTCCATGATCATTCAGAGGTGTGCATGTTTAGTATTCCACTCGAATACATTGGTCAAAAAATACACCTGAAATGGTACTCACACGCAACAACATCTTTTGATCCGAGGTTTTCCACAACACAGGCCATGTGGGGGTCGTCGACGTCGTTGTTGGTCTCGATGAGGTGCCTGTTTGATGGAGGCTTGACAACAGCGGGTGGTTATTGTGAGGGCGCGATGCGAGGTGCATTGTTGGACAGCGACGCCGTGCATTTGTTTGGACGGTTGAAGAGGTTCTGGTTAAAATAAATCAAAGAGAAATTGACTGCCTTGAGTAGGTTTCTTGTTCAGAAGCAGAGAGGCGACGAGGTCCCGGAAGTCAGTTCGGCGAAGCAGTGTTGCGCATTTTACCGTATGTCACGGTATAAATTATGCACCCATGTACGAGATGGTGCCAAAGCATTAGTCGAGGAGTAGTCACATGCGTACTCAAATCCGACCACTTATATATCTTTGGGCGATCTGACTTTGTTGAGTTGAGCAAATTACACTGAGTGATGAGTTGTTGGTGTGAACAGCGATGTGGTGTGAGCGCAGAGTTGTAGTGCAGTGAACAGAGCTAAGTGAATCCATGTCACAAATCACTGTAGTGATTTACTTGTTGTCACGAAGAAAGTTGACAACCCAACGAGCAGACGAACACTTTTAACTCGCCAAGTAGTTCCAGTTGACGGTTTGTCAGTTTCTTTACGTCTCACACCTCAACTTCAGTAGCTATAACTTGGCGTAACAAAGATGTCCAATTTAGATGACATTCTATCGACATATTCGTCATGCTGCCAGAAAGATATCCCATCCCTGACACCGAGCCGAACATGTCTAGATGAAACAGGTCATTTCTGATTGTCACTGACATATCATAAATCAACAAAAATGTGCAACGGTGAACCTATTGGTCGGTTGTGAAATGCAAATGCAAACCACACACTCTGCTTGATCTCTGCAAAGGATGTGACTGGATTTACGTCAAGGAAGATTTGTCAGCGACCTAGTCTGCTAGAAAACACCAATTACGGCATTGTACTGCACGCTTTATAAAAAAAAGTATTCGGAGCGCGAGATCAAGGCGTTAAAGTATAAGCTGCAAGACGTGTTGGGATAGATGAAGGGCCGTCGTGGGGTAGAGGGATTCTATAGACTGCATCGTGTCTCCGGTTGTGGACTCGAATCTATACAATCTACCCTGGAATTTCACTCGATTACACGCATTTTCCACGATGATTGATTTGTGGTGAAACTGAGTTTGCAGGTTTGCAGGATTTTTTACGCAAACTACAATCATTTACGTCCGCTTTGCGTCAGACAGTCACGTTACTTGGCAATACACAAATCCTTTTTTTAGACGAGGGAAAGGAAACCTCTGCATGTATTGAGCAGTGATATATGACACGGTACAAGTCATTTAGTGAAATACAAATGCAACGACGAGCTTCCAAGCCAATGCGTTGCAGCGGCCTCTAAACAGCCTAAATTATTTTCCTTCACCACATTTTTGCCTGCCTAGGCTTAGATTTGACGCAGGCAAGCCTTTGAATGCAGTTTGCTCTTTTGCCCAATGATCAAATCAGATATTTATGGCGTGATTGCATGGTCATTGCATGCATCAGGTTGCGGATTTCGAAAACGTAAACGAACAACTTGTCTTTCAGATGCCAGCCATGATCCACCGCTAATTAAGACTTTCCGAATGATTTCAGACTGCGCTAGCACTCATTGCATGTTCACATTGACGTGAAGTATTGATTAAAGATATTTGAAACTGTGCATTGTACAGCGTTATGACCGCAACTGAAGCTTCAATTTTGGCTCTGATCCGGCATGACTGTACTTCGAGGCACTTTACTTGCAAATGCTTGTAATGAATTGGTTCAAGGAATCAAGTAATTGGTGTTTACGGCTGTTGGGGATCCACGATTCCCCAAGATTGCTTTCTGATGCTATTTACGGTTATTCACTGACATTTGTTATGCTACACTTTTTATCAAGTCAAGGTCAACCTGACTTGAATTTGTTCGACTTCCGGAC